CGTAGAGGAGCGTACGTTCACTGGATGTAATAAAAGTTCCCTTTTTTGGTAGCTTGTTGCGATTGATGTTATACTTTTGGGGGAGTTAGAAATTATGGTGGTATATGTCTTAGGCATCAATTTATTTATTACATCCATAAATAGAGCCACCAAAAGAAATTTTTACCAAGATCTCTTTGCAAGAAATTAGTGGTATGTAAATCATTTACATTCTATACAGTTACTATATTACATTTGGTATTAAATAATTGCTAACCTCGTATCCAACTAATTGTCCATACCTTCAAAGACAACTATTACATATTATCAACTGCCATTCTCATGCCACTAGCTGGGGGCACGGGGAGAATGCAAGTTCGTTGCAGTTGGCATTTGGCTAGGTTACGAAGCTTTCAACCAAAGTTCAGAGATCAATTTACAAATATTGCACTACTTTAATTTATCACCATCACGGAGGAGCAAGCCCATTCCAAGTAAGATGCTATATGTTTAAATAGAATTCAGGGGGGCATACGTTCAATCTTCAATGCTCCCTCCAGATCGATAGGCAACCACACCACCTCCGTCAACCAACTGGATTAAATCTTGGAAGGTGTTTAGGGAAACAGATTATGGAGAGCGATCCAACTAGACATTTTATATACACACCCTCTACTGATTATGACATGATAGGCTTGGGACCTTCCTTTCAGCACTGGAGCATGTATGGTGTGCAGATTAGTGAGCTAGCAGATGTGTACTATGGTAGCCAATCCCACCAGCCCTTACATACTTGTTATTTCCCATGGCTATTCTAGAGTGGATGTCATATATTGGGTTTCCATCTTTCCTCTCACAGTAAGACATACTCTTACTAGGAGGACATCCATCGTAACAGTACGCACAGGTTCATGAGCAAGAGGAGGAGGTGATTGAGGAGCCAAAACTTTAGAGGTGAAGAGGAAAAGCCCACTTTGATATACAATCGGGAGTGGTGCTCTTCCATGTCATCGATAGATGTACCGTTATTTTCTATTTTTGTTATCACATATGTATAAATGTATGAAGTACTTATGTTGTAGTTTAAAATAAAGTTGGTTTTAAAAATATATAACTCTTGTTCCTCTTTGCATGTCGGAAAAAATAACCATAACTCAAATTGATCTCCACTAAGATAATATCTTTACTAAGCATACAAAAAAAAAAAAAAAAAAAAAAAAAAAAAAAAAAAAAAAAAAAAAAAACTGAAGCAAACATTCATAGTACTACATAGCTTTATTATTTCATAAACATCATAAGCAAACATGCTTAGAGTTGGATTTAAGTTGGACAGTACTTGAGATGAAACTTAAACTCATACTAAATGTCTTGCTAGTCATTACCATTAAAAAAATTTCTAGGCTTACATTCAAGTAATAGCTCTTTTATCCTATTGTTATAGAAATCCAAAATGAACTCATCAAAAGCATAATACCATTAATGATATAAAATCACATGCTCAATGTAAAGGTTGTTGCAGTCAACGTCTAGCGAATGCCACCTTCTCTCTCATGTTTCATTTCATGATTTCACATTTGCAAGAAATGAGGATTGGTGAGATAACTATTTTCTTCTAATAACCTCATCTGAACATATTTTCAATCGATGACATTTTGAAAATCTCTCGTATTATTAATTTTTATTCTCATTACCTCAGCAAGCACACTCCAAAGGGCATCATCCTCATCTTTTGACCATTCATAGATGAAACACATAAATATCTCATTCGTATTAGCATTTTGCTCCAATGGACTGTCACTGGCACGTGCTCTACAAGCATGTATTCTTTTTCTTGCATCATCAAACCTTTCTTTATTGGGGATTCCTCGAACCCCTTCCATACATGACCAAAATATTTTAAAGGTGTAAACTTAAATCTTCACATGTCAATCACAAGTCTACTTGACATGTGAATTCAACCCCTTTAAATAATAAAGTTTGTGCATATCTCACATTTACATGAAACTTGAAATTATAATATTGATTGATTGAACCTTACATCTTTATAGGTTATTTGATCTGATGGTTTCTTACAAGAAACATCCTATCAATGAATAATGAGATAAATTTAAAAGATTTCAATGCTCTGAATAAAATTTTGAAAGAGAAATTCAAAGTCCACAATAACTAAAAATACTAATAACTCTTATTTGATATATACTATACCAAATTAATTAATAATTTATTAAGTAATCAAATATTAAGATATAATTATAATTATATGACATCATTAATTAAATTAATTATTTAGGTTAATTTAAATTAACTATTACATTATTATATAATTAAATTTATTATAATATAATTATAAATTAATTCTCATATAAGTACATACTTTAATAATTTATTATATAATTACAAACTAAGTAACACATAATTATAAATCTAAATTATTTATTATATAATTATTCTCATAACTAATTATCATATAATTAAAAATTAGCAGACAAATTAAAATTAAAATTATTGTGTATTAACCTCTCACACTAAATTACTTTGCATTAGCCTCTCACACCTCTCAAACTAAATTATTGTGCATTAATCTCATACTAGGTTACTTACTGTGCATTAATCTCACACTATCCAACAGAATGGCACGAAATTTTGGAACCAACCAAAAATGCCGACTAGTTTGGCAGGTTCAAAATGTGTCGTATTGTTCAGCGTATTTTGAATGGGCCAAAAAAATTAGGCGAATTAGCTCTGATCTAAATGTCGCCTAATTTATGCTCCTTGGGCTAAAATCATGATGTTCGATGCTCCTTTGTAAAAATAGTCTATTTTCCACATCACATGCTAATACAATTAAATTATTATAAAATATCAATCAATTTGAAAGACAAACACACTTATGCTACTAGACATCTATTAAACTATTTGACAATCACAATATATTTTATCATAATTATATTTATAAATATCTAATAATTTGCTTATATTTCTAACAATTTAATTATATTTATATAATAATTTAATTATATTATCTTATAGTTTAATTTTATTAAATAACAACACGTCAAACATTAAATCAAAAAATATATATTATCATACTATTCTTGAAGAATTTTCTTCAATAAAATAAGTAATAAAATAACTTAAATGTACAATTTTATTGCAAGGATATATTTTATCACGTGCAAAAATATAATATATCAATGTCACAGTACCTAAAATTAACTGAGATGAAATGAATGCAAGTGAGATGTTCAACATATAAGGATTCCATTTAATTCAAATACAGCAAGACTTAGAATGGTTGAAGTTATTGCAACTATCTTAAAAATAAATTAAAAAAAAAAAAAACCAAAGTGGGTAGAAGTGAAAAAGGGTCTTTGAGGGATGTCCCCTGAATCATATTCTCTAATAAGCAAAGCATATCCAGCTTAAAAGTGCTAATCATACATCTACAACAAACAGCTTCATCAGGGCTATTGAACCTCCTCATATTCCAAAAAGCAATAAAAGACACATGTATCACTATTTTGGATGTTGAGGGGGCTTTTTCCCTTGCTCCATCCTAGCAGATTTAGTAGGAAGAATAGGGTTTTGGGGCCTTTTGTGTAAAATCAGCTCCAAACATATTTAGGTGTGATAGCTGCGTTAGGGTTTTCCTCTTGGTCTTGTGGGATATCAAACTTATTAAATGAGATGACTCCAACAAGAGCATTAATACTATTAGAAGAAGTGTTGTCATCTTCTGTGGGAGAATTTAGGTTGGGAGCTAAGGTGAATGTAGGGTCTTTTGAGGTGGAGGGGTTTGTTGGAATCTCAATAGAAGGCACCTATATAGAAGGCTCAGTTCCCTGAGAAACGTGAAGGGAAGTCTAAGCATTTGGAATGACTGAGAGCTTTAGTGAATTATGCATTTGGGTAGTATGAGGGACTGGAACTATTGTTGATGCATTGGAAGATGAGGGAACGGCAGTAGAATCTTGAATTTTTTGTAATGAATGAGGGTAGCTGGGCTGATGCGTAGAAATATTACTGATTAGGGAGGATTTGGGAGATACAGTAGGTTTGCAACTTTTAGGCTTTTTACTTAAGCTTATACCACGAGAAGAGGACACTCTAACATAAGGTGATTGGTCGATTTAGAGGGTTTAATAGGCTTTGAAGGATAGAGAGACGAGTAAGGGCCAGTGAGTTGCGAAACTCACAGGGGTTTGGATGCCATTCATTTTGAACATTCAGGTTAAAAACATCTCCATCAAGTGAGATAGTATTTCTTTAGGATATGAGGCAGTGTTGCTAACTTGCATGCAAACGCGGGCGAAGGTGAGACATATCCTTTGTGCTGTCAGGGCGTCAACCGCTAGGGAAATGCCGATGTTGCTTGCAATCCAGGAGTTCCCCTTGGAATTCTAGCAAAATTGGGGTAAGCCATGGATGTTTATCCATATAGGGACAAATGTAAAGTTTTCTCTCTTAGGGCGAAAATGGGGAGTCCATTATTGCAGGATGAAACGCTTTCCAAGGAAAAATCAGACCCCTCTAGTCCAAGCCATATCGTAATCCGCAGAAGAGAAATGCAGTTAGAAGAAATTATCACTAAGAGAGTAACTAAAGCGAACTTTTTAAAGTCCAAAGTTTTTTAATAATGCCGAAAAGAGCTTTGGAAATCGTCTTCCAGCCAATTAAATAACAATCCCCAACACAAGTTCTAATCTTGACCTCATTTGGAAAGATTTTCTCTGGTGAAAGGGATGGGCTGCTTTGAGATATATTCATCGGGGTCAGGTGATAAGCTGGGTTAATTTTTAGGTCCGATCACTGAACCTAAAAATAGGTCCGTACATCCAATTAACACTTGCCATGTCGCCTGCACTATGACTGCACTTTAGGTGCGTTTTGACTGCAATTTTGATGTGCTTAATTTAAAATAATATTTTATTAATAGAGGACTTATATAAGCTGAGCGTTTGACAGGTCCACATCATCCATTACCATGTGCGTGCTGGTCAGCAACGGAAGACTCCGTATTATCTCCGGTTCAACCTCCGGCTCGGTAGTGCTCACGAGCCACGTTTCTCCTCCTGGTAGGTCTTTCCCTAGCAAACAAAAGCAGGGAAACTTCTCTCGGGTTTACCATTCGATCAATCTTCTGAGTTATTGAATCTGCGCTGGACCACCTTCAAAGAATCGGATCCTCGGAGGTTTTCGTTCCATTTAGTACGTTTTCTCGCCGTTTTCGTTCTATTATCTTTCTATTGTACTGCATTTCTTCTTTTTCTTCCCGCCAAGTAATGAATTTTTCGTGAACGGGGATCCTCCACCTTCTGGTCACGTATTTTGAAGCAAATTTCTTATTTCCCTTTTGCCGGTGGTAGACGATGATTTTTTTTTTTTTGACTTCACTTAGGGCTTTTGACCTAGCTCTGATGGAGGAAAGCCACATGGAATACGATGGGGAGAAGAGTCCTAAGGATTCCGACCCTCTCCTTAATAATCAGGCCGCGCCTTCTGAGGACAGCTCTGATGATGTAAATGATGAGGACATCGAAGCGGCCTCTCAAGCATGCTGCCGCATCTGCCTTGAGTCTGATGGTGAGCCTGCTGAGTTTCCCCCTTTTAGTATGATTGCGTTGTTTTCTTTTGTTAATTTCATAGGCTGCAACTCTTAAATTGTTTATTGCTTATCCCTGGAACGACTTGCTTATTCCATGCTAAAAGTTAGAACCTGCTTTCACGCCTAAATTGATTGTTAGCCATTATTATAGATAAGAGTCATTGCTAAATGATGTTTGTTAGGAAGTTCGTTTAGGTCAAGACTTGTTTATGTGCTCTTTTTTTTTAACTCAAGTTCACAGTTCGAAAGTGTGGATCGCTGGTTGAACCAAAATTTAAAGTTATTGTTGACTGCCAATCACTATTACCCGCACATGACATTTTGATCAGTCTATTATGGGAATATACCGAACATTTCCACATTCTTTACATCTAGGTTTAGCATTTGTTAGCTAAAATGCATTTAGATGGGAATTGCAGTTATCCATTAGCTTTGGATATTTATTGGAGCTGCAGAAGGGAACAAGAGAGAACAGTATATTCGTATTAGCATGCAATCAAAAACAGTGTAATTTTTGTCAACATTGTTCATGCATGCTTTTCAGACTTGCAGATCTGTTCTTAAGAGCTATAGTCTTTCAAGTTCCATCAGATGCCAATGTTTCTAACTACTATAAATTGGAGGGACTGTAATCATGGTAGAAATTTAACATGTGCATTCCTTATACTTGAATTTTAAAGTGTTCCTTTTACTGGGGTATAGTTCTTTTTTGATATTTTTTTCCTAATCGTATGATGGTTTATGGTATGTTTATATTGATTTTTCATTTCACAAATAACGTTACCTCTGAAAAAATGTCATGCTTTCACTATTAACATATAATTCTACTCTCGGCACTATTCAATAAGTAAGGTTATGATTACTAATATCATGTTGGATCTTATCCATGTTCAATGGGTACCCCTTTTTAAGACATTATGCACTCTATGGTTTTCATTGGGTCAGTTCATTTTTTTCATAACTAGAGAATCTTTTCTCCTCTATCTGATTTATTCTATATTTAGAATGATATGAGCTAGTTAGATAATTTGATTTATAGTTGCAAACATTGTGGGCACTCGTCCGTGTTAGTCATTGCTAATGCCATCATTTCCTATAATTTCACTTCCGTCAAAAAAGTTATAAACAATCTTGGGTCAGTGCATGGAAAGCATGACAAGCCCCAAGAATTACCCTTTTGGGTTCTCTTACATCACCTACACTACAATTCAGAATAATTTAATTTTGCTCAGTGAAACTAGTTGAATCTGGTAACATATAAATGTCTATTAAAGTTACAAGCGTGCTCCAATGGGTGGCATATTCTGTTGCTTCGCTCATTATAGCATCTCAAATTTTAAATGTATTTGAAATTGCAGTTATGCAATGATGAGAATGAGACTGCAAAGCTTGTCAAAAACATATGATCTTTTTCTAATGGATGGATGATATTATAGAACAAGAAAAGTTCTATTTATGTGTTAATAAGGGGGAAAATAGAGGAGAAAAAAAAAATGCATCAAATTTCATGATGAGAGCTTCATTTGGTCAAAGTTTCTAGTAATTTACATCTAAAAAAATAGTGTTGGTTTTGTTGGAATGTGTCTCAAAAATCCCTACTACAGGGAACACACTTATATGGAATAGTTCATAATATGTAAAATGCAACATAACAAAACCACAACAATGGCACAACTGTACCAAACAATGCCTAAGGTCTTGTTTGGTAATGCTTCTTAGTTATTTTTTTCTTAAAAAATTAGACATATCACAATTTTGATTTGTAAGAATGCACTATTAATGCTTAAGACATGCATTTTTCTTTGATTATGGAATTTTTTTATACTTTAAAATGCATCAATTTTTTTTTTTTTGCATTTTCTAGTAAATTTTTATTAATTAATATTTAATCTAAACTTTATTGTATTTAAATTAGATAGTATCTTTATTTAAGTACATGAAATTCATCTCAGGTATTTTCTATATTTCAATTAAAATTAGTTAATTTTACCTTATAAACCCAATTTCTATAAGGAGAAGTTGAAAGGTTTTTTTGATTATTGAATTTTCAAGATTACCTTTGCACTTCTTTCGCCTTCTGGTTCCCTTAACTCGTGACTTCTTCATATCTCTCTCCCTTCTTGAGGACTATCTTGGGATTCCTTCTCCAATTGCAATTTCTATCTCTTCTATCGATTGTAACCAATGCTTAAACTCCTTGCTAAAAGAATCAAGAGCGTTTCTCTTTACAATTCTTCCTATCTCATATCCTTTGCAATCAAGGGTTGAAATTAACAGCAGTCAAAAGGAAAAAAATAGAAAAATAAAAAGAGAATCAATGAGGAGATCTATAACAAGGATCTATTATCAAATTGGCATCAAACCAATTTGTATTCTACATCAATTTGTATTATAGGAGAATTTTCTTGTGGTAACTACAACTAAACATTGCTTTAAGCAATAAAAAACTTATTCCAACTTGGCATGACATATTAAAGTCAAGGAAGTACTCTTGTGTAAGATACATAGATTATGCCTAAAAGGTACATCACAAACATAAACTCTCATATGCAGCTTAAAAATTCTCCTTGTTCACTTTGGAATCAATGTTAAAAAAATTCATTGAGATCTTTCATCACATTCATAAGACTCTAAGTATGGAGCATTATTAAGTATATGGTTTGATATGCGCGAGATATAGATTCCACATCATTATTAGTCTTGTACTTCATTTATTATACTGAGTAGTATAATACATATTTTATGATGTTTATTAAAGTATCACATAAATCTTATGATGAAGCCATTTAGGTATCATACAAATAGCTTGGATGTGACTGTTAGGACCTAAAACCCTATCAAGATGAAATTGGGCCAATTGTAATCGGGGATAAGATTTTACTTGCATATCGAGTCGACTTCCTATCAGGGGGTTCAAAAAGCCCCATGTTTGATGTCCTAATGATGAGAAAATTACATAAGTTTTTTTGAAAGATAGGCCTAGTATTTGTACCCTTGAAGTTTTATCTAATTAGTATGAGAAGCTAATTAGGGTTTATTTATTTATGGGGTATTAGGATTTCTCACAAGTGTAAATTCTTATAATTAATTATATCCTATTACTCGATGCTTGAGAAAACTACATATTAAAAGATTGCCCAAAGATAAGAGAAATATAACTCCACAATAACTAGAAGTTATTACAATATTATCAATAATACTATCTTGTTGTAAGTTTAATATTAAGGGTTCATGTAGCATTGTTACTTCCACTATTTGGAAGTGGCTTATGATAAGGCTTACCACCTATCTCTGAAAGGCTAGGATGCTCGACAACTGGCCTTATATTGCCTAAGAATAATGCCACTAAGCTCCTTCTAAAGCAAATTTTGAGAGCATATGTGGTTTTGGTTCATATAATATGCAAATATTGGCTTAAATGTCTAAACATCAACAATAAGCTAGTAAGTTTTACAACCCTTACAAATTTGCTCACGTGCAACCATATTTATGAACAACGAATGACGCACCATAGCGCAAAGTTTCCTTTGGAGTCATGGTGTATAGCACATTGCACAAGGTTTAAACATGACACACAATATATATATATAGATATATATACACTATTAAATAACAAAAAAATATGTTGATTTGAGCAAAATTTAAATATAAGTATTCTACCAAACAAGATAAATGACAACTTTAAATTTAGCCCAAATCATGTCAAATAACAAAAATGACAACTAAAAATCTTAGAAAATGTTAAATCCTTCATTTTTTTGATATTTTATTAATTGATGTTTAATTAATTAATAATTATTTGTGATTTTAATATATGAACCTTAAAATATTAGTTACATTTTATAATTTAAAATTTATAACATATTAACAAAATTGCGTGCGCTATTTGCGCCATTGCTCATGAATGACACAAATAGCGCATACTATTTTGATGCGACATGCCGCGTCAAACGAATATCATAGTATGTGAGCCCTGCCGCGAGCCATTTTGCGTCATTGACATGTATGCCTTTGATTAGAGCTAACATGACAGGTGGGACCCAACATCTCAATTTAAGAAATATGAGGGGATAATGCGAACCTTTTGGTTTTATACCAACAACTTAAATTTATTCATATTAGATGTTCATGCAGTAAAAGATGGAAGGATGAAAGATGTGGCGTAAGATGCCTATCAAAGAAGTGATTGATTAATCACCCAAGCTCAAACCAAGAAGGAAGTTAAAAAAATACCAAGACCAAGGATTAGGAGCAAAAACAATTTAGTAGAACTTTATTGTTATGTTTATGTCTATGTTAAATATTGTAAGAGATTATGCCATTGTGATTTTGAGTTATAGTAGTGACTAGAAAGTGAAGGTGAAAATTTTGAAATTTGAAATTTTGGAGTTGAAATATTTTAGAGAATGGTTAATTATGTAGGTGCACATATTTAATTGAATGAATAAATTCAATTAAACTAGGGCCCATGCTTGGTTGGTTGGCCAAGGCAAGATGGAGGGAGCAATTAGGGTTAGTTACACTCTCACCTGTACTAGGTTGGCTGGCTTCTCACTCTCATTTTGTTTTCTTTGTGTTCATTTCAAATGTAACTTTGTTACTAGTTAAATGCTATGGAAGGAAGAACAAATGATTGCTATTGCATTTACAAGAATTGGAGTTTCATCCAAGAAGAGGAGTTGGAGGCTTGGTGGTCGATCATTACTTAAAGATAATTTATAATTTCTTCAACCTTGCTATTTTGATGAGTAGCAAGTCTATGACCTTCCTAGTTAAAAAAATTTTCTTTTACTGTAAAACTATATTACAATCATTTTCTCACAATCTCATATCTATTTCCTTGCATTGTCCCCACAAATCACATCCCAAACCCTTCTTAAAGCTGTCACCTAAAATTTGGCAGAATTTGACTTAGTTGGATTCTTACTCTCATTTGACCTACCAAAACTCTTTGGAATTTGTTGAAATTTTCTAAAAT